ATATCAGAGAGAAACATTTAAATATAGTACAAGGTTTTCTGGTGAGGAGCTTGGATTTAACTGTCTACCGTTTCTTTTCTTTTTTTTTTTTTTTTAGGTTTTTTCTCCGGTACCGGGAACCGAACTCACGACCTTGCGCTTGCCAGGCAGGCGCTTTTGCCGCTGAGCTAAATCCCCGGCCCCTTACCGTTTCTTTTCTTATACAGTAGCAACCCATTGGTTGGGGAAAAAGATCATTCACTCATAGATTAGTATCTTGACAAATTCCAATTTCAAACAGTTTCTCTAAATGCAGCTCCAATTTTTCTCTATTTTAATAGTTCTCCATTACCCTCAAGTCTTCTACTTGACCCCTTCCTTTTTACTCTCAGCAGATGTCCTTTCCTGATTTCATAGAGAAAACAGAAGTGATCAGGCAAGAACTCATTAGGCTTGAGTTCACTGAACTTTGTGCACACACATATTCTTTCTCTCAATTTGTATTTTTATACACTTTTATTATAGTGGAAAAATGGTCCTCCTTTTACTTAAGGTCGGTGCCCACACTGTTATTCTAAATCTTGCGTTTCATTCTGTTATTCTAAATCTTGCGTTTCATTCTCAGAATACAGCTCAATTTTCCTTCTGGTCCTTCAAATCTTCAGTTTCTCTTTCTCATCAGCCTCTCTTGCCTTGTTTAAGTCTCTAGAAGAATTCTCTTTTACCCTTTGCCTCCCTCATCTTCCTTTGCCAAAGCTAAACTTCTCAGAGAGATGGCCATACCTGGTTACCTCATCCATATCTACTCAACCCATTTCTACAATGTACTGAACTGTCAATTGTCGCTGTCATTCCAGTGAAATTCCACTACTGTCCTTGAGGACTTCCTCTTTGCTGAAGTCAAGGAATGAAGAATACTTTCCAGTTTTGATCTTATTTGACTTTTTTGAAGCATATGACACAGTTGGATATTTTTTTCTGACATAAAGTCCCCTTGTGTGGCTTCTTGGATTTTATGACACCATATTTTCTTGGTGTTACCTTTATTTTTGGCAGTATGGAGGACTGAACCCAGGGCTTTCACCCATGGCAGGAAAGGGCTCTACCACTAAGCTACATCTTCAGACCTTTTTATTTTGAAACGGGGTCTCACTAAGTTGATCAGCTGATCTTAAATTTATAGTTCTCCTGCTTCATCCTCTTGAGTAGCTTGGGTTACAGGCATACACCATCATGTCCAGCCAGATTCCATATATATATTTAAATTGACAGCTAACTATATATATTTTTATGGATACAGTGTGGGTTTTTTTCTTTTTTTTTTGGGTTTTGAGACAGGGTCTCACTATGTAGCCCAGGCTGGCCTCGAACTCATGGTGATCTTCCTGCGTCTGCCTCCCAAGTGCTGGGATTACAGGAGTATAACACCATGTCTGGCTATTGGAGGATCATTGCGAGTTTGAGACCAGCCTGGGCTACAAAGTGAGCTCAAGGCCAGCCTGAACTGCATAGCAAGACCCTGTCTCAAAAAGACCAAAAAAAAAAAAAGTTAGGCCTCAGAAGGAAGACAGCTATAGACTTCACTCCTCACTGGTCTACTCCTGGCCAATATTTAATGAAGTTTATAATCCTACTCTTTCTTAGCTCAAGAACCTTTTAAGTTCCACTGGCATTGTTATTTGAGTGCTCTTTCTGGCCTGCTTCAGGGTGAGGATTCCGAATCAAGAAACCCCCTTACCTCTTTGTTATCTGCTGGGCGTTTTGGTCTTTTGGCCTTAGGCTCACCAGCAGCATCTTCATCGGATGATCTTCTCCTTTTACCTTTCCCTGCCAAATAAACCAACAGTTCAGCTACAAATCCTATGATGATAGGAAATTAGCAAACCTAAGAGAGAGCAGGTACCTCTTCATCCCAAAGATATCTGTAGTTACCTGTAATCTAGAATTGCTTAGAAGGCTGATAAGCTACCAGAAGCTTAAATCAATGATGGTGTCATCTGAAATTCAGTATATTCAATTTTTATTTTATTTTGTCATTTTGAGACAGGGTTTTGCTATATAGTTCAGGCTGTCCTTGAACTCACTTTGTAGCCCGTGCAGGCCTTGACCTTGCAGTGAACCTCCTACTTCAGCCTCCTGAGTGCTGGGATTATAGGCGTATGCCACCAAACCTGGCTAAAACTCAGTATGTTCAAAAAGAAACAAATCTTTTTTTCTCAAACTGTCCTCCTCCAATGGTTCCTTTCAGTGAGTAGCACCATCATCCTTTGACATGAGCAAGTCAGATATATAGATGTGATTTTTGGTAACTCTCTTACCAGTTTACATCTAGTTTTTCATGCATTTATATACATTTACCTTTGCATCCACACCCCCTCTTTTTTTGCTTTTTGAGATAGGGTCTTGCTCTGTAATTCAGGCTAGTCTTAAACTCACTATGTAGCCCAGGCTAGCCTCAAACTCATGGTGATCCTCTGCTTCAGCCTACAGAGTGCTGGGATTATAGGCTGAAGCAGAAGGATCCATGAGTTTGAGGCTAGCCTGGGCTACCATGCCTGGCTCCCTAGTCTTTTCTGTAGAAAGAAAAAAAATACTCTAAAAATGTAAATTAAGCCAAGAGTTGTGGCACATGCCTATAATCCCAGAGTGGATTTATACTGAGGCAGAAGGATCCAAAAGTAAACTAGATTATATCACTTCCAAGTTTACAATCTTTTTTTTGTTTGTTTGTTTTCATACAGGGTCTCACTATATAGTCCAGACTGGCATCAAACTTGTGGCAATCCTGCCTCAGCCTCCTGAGTGCTGGGATAACAGGCACGTACCATCACACCCAGTGCCAAGCTTACAATCTTTCAGTAGTTTTTCTTTGCTTTTAAGATAAAGAATAGATGCTTTATAAGGTCTTGTGTGATCTAGTCCCTGCCTGTCTCCCTAACCCTGTTTTTGCTCTAGTTTGCTCACCTTGCTTTTGCCAATGCTGACTTTTTCCTTTCCTTGAATGCCCAGTTTTTTCCTCACAGCATACTATTTCCTCTGTCAAAAATGCTTATCCTCTATTACCTCATTAGTTAGCTCCTACTTTTGTTTCAAATTTTAGCTCTAATGTTACTTTAAGAAAAAGACATGTATATAACCTGCTACATAACAACTCTGACATAAACCAAGTCCCTCATTGTATTTTTTGTAACCCCCACCTCATCTCTCTCCTTCATGGTACTTATCACAGATATGTGACTGATTAATGTATCTACATGACTGATTAATGTAGTGTATCTCCTATAGTTAGACTTACGCCTCAAAAGGTCAGGGATCATGGTCTTTTCATTATGATATACCACAATGTCCGGCATATAACAAATACTTGGTAAATAGTCAATTGATTCATTCATTTAACAGTCAATAAAGAAAAGTCCAGTTAAAGCAATCACAATTCTAGGGTCAAAATCTCTTACCTATCAAGCTCAGTTTAGGAACCAGGTACATGTCCTTTTCATTAATGACAAGGCTAGGGGCAGGTGGTGGAGGCCCTGTGTCTGAATCCTCAGGGGCATGCACCATGGGGCAACGCTGTATAAAGCGGGTGTCTGCCAGTTGCACAAAAGTGTTTGATACCTCAGCATAATCCATGGTCTTCCCATCTGTATAACAGGAGGAAACAGCAGGTGAGATGGCCTAGCATGGCAGAATCCAGTCCTGTAGCCAGCTAATCTATGCTTTTGCTAACAGCTGCAGTTATAGTACTGACCTTCCACGGTCTCTGTGAGTCGGTCTGCCACTTTCTTCACAACAGCGGACATTGTCATTTTGCCATTCAGCAGCAGCTCCTCAACAATCAGCTCTCCAGTGTCACCATAAAGTGCTTTGGTGGTATAGATGTACCGGGGATACCTAAGCATGCGTAATACCCGGCTGCACTGGGCTTCATACTCAACCACACCACGTTTGTGCACTTGATATATCACCAGGTTATGCTGGATGAGGACACAAAGTGCTTTTTTCACCTAGATAGGACCCAAAAGGAGGAGAGGAAAGAACTGGCAATTTTTTGTCCAATAGTTTACTAACCATCAGGGAATGGCTAAATAAGAATTTCTGTTCTTCTTCTCTCTGTTGGAGTACCTCATAGGAATCAAACACCCATGGAAGAAATCAGGAAGACTTCTTGCAATGATGTTCATATTTCCTCTGATCTTAATTTTCATATCACAATTTACTTTCTGTCATTCTCATTACTTAAAGGTGGTACTGAATTAGGAAACTTATGGTGAACAAATGAGGTGCAGCACAGGAAGAACAAAAATTTACTTAAGAAGCTATGATGGGCTGGGTGTAGTGGCTCACACTTGTAATCCCAGCACTTGGGAGGCTGAGGCAG